TGGTGGTGTAATGTATTCTAGTACCCATGATAAATAAAATCACAAAAACAAAAACAAACACAAGTGCATCCTCATTCTTTTACATTCATGTATATTATTCATGTTAAACTAATTTCATAATAACATTATGAAATTTACATAAAGGTAAGTCTCTTTCAATGCTAAACAACTGCCGTGGAATTCTACTTTGTCATGTAATGTGGCTATTCATTTCTTTTCTTGCAAGTATCAGCTTGATTGACTCACACATCACTGGAGCTAAAGTCACCTTTTCCTTCCTCCGCCTTTCTTTTTCTTTTGCTCTGATCTTTGTTTGGCTCTGACTTCCTTTTTCATCCTTGGGTCGACCATCTTGTATGGCCCTTTGATTCCTTTGGGACGGACTGCCTTCTTCCCTGCTAAACTTTTACGTGCCCTTACATATTTCACTTCAGTTTTCTTCTTCTTTCCCATTCCAGCTTTCTTGTACAAACTGTTACAAAAACAAATAGAAGAAAGCTTAAGCCACAATCGCACTGGACTTTTTTTGGTAAAACTAACCAACACGTTGGCTAGTTTTACCATAATTAGTCCAGTGCGAACAGCACAGGAAGTTTACCTGACAGGAAACTTACCCAAGCCGCGCGGTTAATTTAACCGAGTTCCGCTTGCCCAGGAAAACTGACCAGGTTAGTTTTACCTAGCAGGAAAGTCCAATGCGAACAGCGCGAGTCAGGCTGTCAGGCAATTACGCATGAGCTGTGACCTGGAATAAAACGTCGCACACAAACATCTTGATTAATTTCGCGCGTGTTTGCTAGTGTCATAATTTTGTCATTTTTTTCACTTGTTTACTCGGTTTGTTTCAATGGCCGATTTATATGGAGCATTAATAAATGTGCTAGGTCTTGGTGAGACAATCCATCGCGATTATCAACAAATACAACATGATGAAGTACAATTTGAGAGTCTCAACCTGTCTCTTATACACATCTAGATGTGTATAAGAAGTGAACGTCACGATTTAGCGCCCCCAATAGTTGAATCTGTACGAATGGTTAGTTTCACCATGGCCTGTGGTAAAACTAACCACGTCGATAAATCCCAGTGCGAACGACAGGAAGTTTACCCATTGTAATGTTACTCAGTCTCTGTAAAAATTTCCCTATTTTAAATACAGTGCGATTGCGGCTTTAGAATATCATTTTCTAGTTAAAAATAAAAATAAAGCATTAGTAGTAACATCAAAACTACCTGCACATGAATTATGCTATATCAGTGACTAAGAATTGCCAATTTGTTTTTTCAATTGGCTTATAACAGCTGCAAACACCTTAACCACATAGCTCCATATTCTATACAATTTAATATTATAACTTTATTCTCAAACCCAACGACTAAAAAAGATTTAAGGATAACATTAGGCACGTTCAGACAAGTCAGTAGTAAGCTTTGAAGTAGCAGTTTACATGTTGTGCACTCAGAGTAGTGCTTTGTAGACACACCTTCATGTGACCTTTATTTTAACCTCAATTTTTTTGGAAGACCTACAAATGAGTGCCAAAATAACATTTCCTGTGATGTGTAGACATGATGTTTTCATAATTGTTCACATTTTCAAGAAAGTGGTGATTATCACTTGGGAAAATTAGCATAGTTACTTCTAAGCTTTGAACTAGCTTTGAAGTAAAAAGGACATTATGCATCGTGTGGGCACTCATCTAAAGTAACATGCACTTGAAATTTTACATTTGTCATAACTTTACTTAAGAACAGGCCGTCTGAACTAATAGGACTAATATAACCATATCACCCACACATTCTATCATTAACAATGTAGATTTTATACCTCTTTATTTGGTTCATTTTTTCCTTAGCAGAGGTATCAACAGTATCAGTTATTGCTT